AAATAGACACAAATTTACAGTTGCGTAAAAAACACATTATTACAGTTTGATATAATACATTATTACAGTTTGTATGCAGTATGCTGTAGCCAGAGTTTACATACCACTTTTTCAATCTGCCAAAGAACAAAGGTCAAGTAACCACCATCTTCATTAGTTTCTGAATACTTCACTTCTTCATTAAACAGCCAAAGTAAGCAATGGTCTGCCACATTGAAAAGAACCTCGAATGGAGAGTGAGTCTGGACTGAAAAGGGATGTCATGGCTCACTTAAAGAGAGTTATCTGAGTGCCGAGAAGAGAGACGTAGGAGAGAGGAGAGGAGAGAGGAGGAGAGAGAGGAGAGAGAGGGGAGGAGAGAGAGAGAGAGAGAGAGAGAGGAGGAGCGAGAAGAGGGAGAGAGAGGAGAGAGGGAGGGGATATGGAGAGAGAGAGGAGATGGAAGAGAGATGAGAGAGAGAGAGGGAGATGGAGAGAGAGGAGGGAGATGGAGGGAGAGAGATGGAGAGATATGGAGAGAGGAGGGGAGATGGAGAGAGAGAGGGAGATGGAGAGAGGGAGGGATATGGAGAGAGGGAGGGAGATGGAGAGAGGGAGATGGACAGGGTTTTAGCCATATGCAGCTCTTAGTGCAGAACGGGATGGAGGGAGTCTATTGGATGGATGACCCTGGTCAAGAGGTCAAGAGTTCAGAGGTCAGCATTATCCAGGAAGGAATGGACAGAAGGGATACATGAATTGCAGAGGGGGAAGGAGTATTAGTATAATGTGATAAATGCAGCCAAAATATTTACTCCCTCTATCACACACACACACACACATTAGCCCCTATGTGGGAGAGTCATCATGTTGTGATCATAGAGCGTGTCTAGTTGTAAATTAGGCTTGGGATCTCTGCCAGCTCTGTGATTGACAGGTCCCAGTGGCACACACACACAAACACACATACACTGTGTACGCTGGTCTGGAATCAACACCAGGGGCGTATTCATTACGCCGATTCTGTTGCAAAATGTTTCTTAAACGGAAGCAAACGGAACGAAACGGCGAGGGACCTACTTGCATTTGTCCAGTAGAAACCCTAGTTTTAGTTGCTAAACGTTTTGCAACTGTTTGGACTAATAATTACACCCCAGATGTGTAGAATTTGTTCCACTTCGGTCTGCAGTATCTTCATATAAACTGAAATGTTCACAGAGAAGAATCAGTATTTTCAGAACCACTATATTTAATTCACCTTTTATTTCACCAGTTCACGGTTTAGCACATTAATTGCATAGTAAACTGTTTATTTCAATGGGATTCTGAATGCATATTGTGAATTCTCGCACTATACCCAACCATTCCATCATGATGAAGACCATGATGAGCATTAGCTATGGTAAAGACTAAATTACACTTACAAGTTGTGGTTAAGTGAGATAAATAGCTCTCTTTCAGAAAGAAACTGACATCGTCCTTTCATTCTAATTACATGCAGTCACACACACACTCTTTGCTCAAACCTCCGGGGACGTGGAAACCTTTTTATCTGATAGGTACAGCATCTGGAGAGTAGCCTTTACACTGTAGTGTCGGGCCTCGCCTGTGAAGTTATGGAGGAGGACTTCACTTTAACGACAGACTGACGGGTTGAATTGGATCTTTAACGACAAACTGACGGGTTGAATTGGGTCTTTAACGACAAACTGACGGGTTGAATTGGGTCTTTAACGACAGACTGACAGGTTGAATTGGGTCTTTAACGATAGACTGACGGGTTGAATTGGGTCTTTAACGATAGACTGACGGGTTGAATTGGGTCTTTAACGACAGACTGACAGGTTGAATTGGGTCTTTAACGATAGACTGACGGGTTGAATTGGGTCTTTAACGATAGACTGACGGGTTGAATTGGGTCTTTAACGACAGACTGACAGGTTGAATTGGGTCTTTAACGACAGACTGACGGGTTGAATTGGGTCTTTAACGATAGACTGACGGGTTGATTTGGGTCTTTAACGACAGACTGACAGGTTGAATTGGGTCTTTAACGACAGACTGACGGGTTGAATTGGGTCTTTAACGATAGACTGACAGGTTGAATTGGGTCTTTAACGACAGACTGACAGGTTGAATTGGGTCTTTAACGACAGACTGACGGGTTGAATTGGGTCTTTAACGACAGACTGACAGGTTGAATTGGGTCTTTGTCTTCTTCTCAACAGACAGACTCCACTAACCCCTGTGTCTCTATAGGTACGCCATCAGATTCAGCCTAGCAACAGTCATTATCAGACACAGCCACTAGGTGGTGCTGTAGATCTGAAGGTTACTGCCTCTGTCCCTTGGTTTTATATCAGTGAGGTTACTGACAACACAAAGACCTGCAGTGGCTCAATGCCCATTGTTCCCCTCACAATGTCCTGATGTTCATATGAATTGAGGTGTAATTGTGTAAAGGTATTATATCTGATCACAGCCTCTCAGAATGAGGCGTAGGATGACACTGATCTAATGTACACTACCAGTCCAAAGTTTAAACACACCTACTCATTTCAGGGTTTTTCTTTATTTTTACTATTTTCTACATTGTAGAATAATAGTGAAGACATCGAAACTATGAAATAACACATATGGAATCATGTAGTAACCAAAAAAGTGTTAAACAAATTAAAATATATTTTATATTTGAGATTCTTCAAATAGCCACCCATTTCCTTGATGACAGCTTTGCACACTCTTGGTATTCTCTCAACCAGCTTCCTGGAATGCTTTTCCAACAGTTTTGAAGGAGTTCCTACATATGCTGAGCACTTGTTGGCTGCTTTTTCTTCACTCTGCTGTCCAACTCATTCCAAACCATCTCAATGGGGTTGAGGTCGAGGGATTGTGGAGGCCAGGTCATCTGATGCAGCACTCCATCACTCTCCTTCTTGGTCAAATAGCCCTTACACCGCCTGGAGGTGTGTTGGGTCATTGTCCTGTTGAAAAACAAATGATAGTCCCACTAAGCCCAAACCAGATGGGGTGGTGTATCGCTGCAGAATGCTGTGGTAGCCATGCTGGTTAAGTGTGCCTTGAATTCTAAATAAATCACAGACAATGTCACCAGCAAAGCACCCCCACACCATAACACCTATTCCTCCATGCTTTACGATGGGAACTACACATGCGGAGATCATCCGTTCACCCACACCGCATCTCACACGGCGGTAGGAACCAAAAATCTCAAATTTGGACTCCAGACCAAAGGACACATTTCCACCGGTCTAATGTCCATTCCTCGTGTTTCTTGGCCCAAGCAGGTCTCTTCTTCTTATTGATGTCCTTTAGTAGTGGTTTCTTTGCAGCAATTCGACCATGAAGGCCTGATTCACACAGTCCCCTCTGAACAGTTGATGTTGAGATGTGTCTGTGACTTGAACTCCGTGAAGCATTTATTTGGGCTGCAATTTCTGAGGCTGGTAACTCTAATGAATTTATCCTCTGCAGCAGAGGTAACTCTGGGTCTTCCATTCCTGTGGCGGTCCTCATGAGAGCCAGTTTCATCATAGCGCTTGATGGTTTTTGCGACTGCACTTGAATAAACCTTTAAAATTCTTGAAATTTCGTATTGACCGTCATGCCTTAAAGTAATGATGGACTGTCGTTTCTCTTTGCTTATTTGAGCTGTTCTTGCCATAATATGGACTTGGTGTTTTACCAAATAGGGCTATCTTCTGTATACCCTCCCCTACCTTGTCACTACACAACTGATTAGCTCAAACGCATTAAGAAGGAAAGAAATTCCACAAATTAACTTTTAAGAAGGCACACCTGTTAATTGAAATGCATTCCAGGTGACTACCTCATGAAGCTTGTTGAGAGAATGCCAAGAGTGTGCAAAGCTGTCATCAAGGCAAAGGGTGGCTATTTGAAGAATCTCAAATATAAAATATATTTTGATTTGTTTAACACTTTTTTGGTTACTACATGATTCCATATGTGTTATTTCATAGTTTTGATGTCTTCACTGTTATTCTACAATGTAAAAATAAAGAAAAACCCTTGAATGAGTAGTTGTTGTAAAACTTTTGACTGGTAGTGAATATATAATGTATATAGCTCCACTTATCCAAAGTGACTTATAGTACAGCGAGTTCATATATTTGTAGTATGTGTACTAACTGAGCCACACAGGACCACACAGGGACGCAGGGTAAACTGATCCCAGACCTGTGTCTATAATAAGCCACATATCCCCATCCTAACCCAGTCTTTGTCGGTCTACAGGTGTCTGAGAGAGAGACATTTACCGGTATTCAGTCTGTGGACAGCCCAGGGACTGACCTATTGGTGAGCAGTTCACACAACGGCCCACTAACCAGTGGCACAGGTAACACACACACACACACACACGCACACACACACACACACACACACACGAAGACCGCCTCTGCATGTGTTGTTTATTGTTTCATTCATGACTTTTTAAAAGAGTGTAATATTCATTCAGCGTACATTCCATCTACATTTAGCCTTCACTTTGCACACTTACTTGGTTATTCATTTGGTTTCCACACCTGTGGCAATCTAATCCATGAGACATGTTCCACTAGTAGTCTGGTAACAGATCTGTGTTGTAGCCAGCTCCACTGTTGGTTGTCATGCCAAACATCTAGGCCCCCTGGCATGACAACCAATGACAAAGGAGTTAGACAATGCACAAACAAGATCTATGAACGAACAGTCTAACTAGTCCAAATTGTCCACTGCAGCTTTCAAAGATGCAATGTTGTTGTTTAAGATCGAGGCTTCCCATCCTCAAACTCTCTCTCTGTTAACCCGGCATAACCACCCACACACACCATCCTCAAACTCTCTCTCTGTTAACCCGGCATAACCACCCATACACACCATCCTCAAACTCTCTCTCTGTTAACCCGGCATAACCACCCACACACACCATCCTCAAACTCTCTCTCTGTTAACCCGGCATAACCACCCACACACACCATCCTCAAACTCTCTCTCTGTTAACCCGGCATAACCACCCACACACACCATCCTAAAACTCTCTCTCTGTTAACCCAACATAACCACCCACACACACCATCCTCAAACTCTCTCTCTGTTAACCCGGCATAACCACCCACACACACCATCCTCAAACTCTCTCTCTGTTAACCCGGCATAACCACCCACACACACCATCCTAAAACTCTCTCTCTGTTAACCCGGCATAACCACCCACACACACCATCCTCAAACTCTCTCTCTGTTAACCCAGCATAACCACCCATACACACCATCCTCAAACTCTCTCTCTGTTAACCCGGCATAACCACCCACACACACCATCCTCAAACTCTCTCTCTGTTAACCCGGCATAACCACCCACACACACCATCCTAAAACTCTCTCTCTGTTAACCCGGCATAACCACCCACACACACCATCCTAAAACTCTCTCTCTGTTAACCCAACATAACCACCCACACACACCATCCTCAAACTCTCTCTCTGTTAACCCGGCCTAACCACCCACACACACCATCCTCAAACTCTCTCTCTGTTAACCCGGCATAACCACCCACACACACCATCCTAAAACTCTCTCTCTGTTAACCCAACATAACCACCCACACACACCATCCTCAAACTCTCTCTCTGTTAACCCGGCATAACCACCCACACACACCATCCTCAAACTCTCTCTCTTTTAACCTGGCATAACCACCCACACACACCATCCTCAAACTCTCTCTCTGTTAACCCGGCATAACCACCCACACACCCCATCCTTTTTCCCTTTGTCGTGTCCAATTCAATTAAACCCAACCCAACTCAACTTAACAAAATTCAATTCAATTCAATTGAACTCAACTCAAATGTATTGATCCATCCTCCCCCAGTGTTGACAGACACCCAGGACAGTAGTCCCCAGCCCTCTGAGGAGATGCTGTCCAGCCAGTCAGAGCTGCGGAGCTCCAAGTGTCCCCAGGACCGTGAGCTGCCCAGCATCCCACCCAACAGCGCTCTGGAGGGGATGGGATCCTCCAACGGACCCCCTCTCCCTCCCTCTGGAGATGGCACCTACGAGGTATTAGGGATTGTTGTTGTTCATGTTATTATATAGGTATTTATTGACTTATTGGAATGAGTCCTCTTGTGTTTATTGAATGGTTGTACTGTATGAACCCAGGGAGACTAGTCCTAATGTACTGACGGCTGTCTCAATCAACTCAACTAAACTAGGTGGTGAAGGAAAGAGGCGGCATCTTGACGGCGTCCCGGGACGTGAGTGTTGAAGACTCCCTGTACGAGACGGTCAAAGAGCTGAAGGACCATCCAGGAAGCATGGCTGTAGGTCTACCCAACGGACACGGTACTACGTCCCCCCTCAGCCCTGATGACAATGACATTTCCCACCACAACCACCTCCCACCTCCCCGCCACCCTCCAGCCCTCCACAACGGCCACCTCAGCCCCGGCAGCACCCCGGAGCGAGGGCCCCTGTGCGCGGGAGTGGAGTACGCCTCGGTGGATCTGAACAAGAAGAGCCGTCACAGTGCAGACCTGGAGGCCAGGCGCTCAGCCACCATCGCTGCTGCTGTGAGCCCCACAGAGGAGCCCGAGGAGGAGGAGAGACCCCCGCCTGTGCCTGACAAGGTGCTGGATGAGAATGACAACCAGCCTACCATGATGGACGCAGGAGGGGTGGTGGTAATGGGGGCTGCGCTGCACAACGGAGAGGTGAGGATCGTTGTTTATGTCTATGTCTGTGTGTTTATGTATGTTTGTGAGGGAGAAAGACCGCACTTGTACAGCAGAAAGACAGCTCAACTGATTCCTGACTAGATGTATTGATTCAGTTGTGAGCCACAAGTTAGAGTAGAAAGCAGAACAGAAAGAGCCTCTCTCTGTCTCTGTGTCCGATCGACATTATGAGGGAGAGAAAGAGAGAGAGAGAGAAAGAGCAGGGAGAGAGAGAGAGGAAGAGAGAGCGAAATGAGAGATGGAGAATAGAGATAGAGATGGAGGGAGAGAGAGATAGAAGATAGATAGAGGGAGAGAGAGAGAGAGAGAGAGAGATAGAAGATAGATAGAGGGAGAGAGAGAGAGAGAGAGAGGGGGGGGGGGGTAGAGGGAGGGAGAGAGAGAGGGAATATCCAAGGCCTGAGGTCATCTGCCTTTGGCCTAAAGAGCAGGAACCTGGACTTCACCAAAGAAATCGGAAATACAGACATTGTCATCCTACAAGGAACATGGTATAGACGGACCCACTGGTTGCCCTCTAGGTTACAGAGATCTGGTAGTCCCATCCACCAAACTACCAGGTGTGAAACATACATATCAGTGTGGATGACGGATCACCACCTCAAGCTGAACCTCGGCAAGACGGAGCTGCTCTTCCTCCCGGGGAAGGACTGCTTGTTCCATGATCTCGCCATCACGGTTGACAACTCCGTTGTGTCCTCCTCCCAGAGTGCAAAGAGCCTTGGCGTGACCCTGGACAACACCCTGTCGTTCTCCGCTAACATCAAGGCGGTGACCCGATCCTGTAGGTTCATGCTCTACAACATTCGCAGAGTACGACCCTGCCTTACACAGGAAGCGGCACAGGTCCTAATCCAGGCACTTGTCATCTCCCGTCTGGATTACTGCAACTCGCTGTTGGCTGGGCTCCCTGCCTGTGCCATTAAACCCCTACAACTCATCCAGAACGCCGCAGCCCATCTGGTGTTCGACCTTCCCAAGTTCTCTCACGTCACCCCACTCCTCCGCACACTCCACTGGCTTCCAGTTGAAGCACGCATCTGCTACAATACCATGGTGCTTGCCTACGGAGATGTGAGGGGAACAGCACCTCCGTACCTTCAGGCTCTGATCAGTCCCTACACCCGAACGAGGGCACTACGTTCATCCACCTCTGGCCTGCTAGCTCCCCTACCTCTACGGAAGCCCAGTCAAAACTGTTCGCTGCTCTGGCACCCCAATGGTGGAACAAGCTCCCTCACGACGCCAGGACAGCAGAGTCACTCACCACCTTCCGGAGACACTTGAAACCCCACCTCTTTAAGGAATACCTGGGATAGGATAAAGTGATCCTTCTACCCCCCCTTACCCCACCCCCCAAAAAAAAAAAAATTATTGTAAAGTGGTTGTCCCAATGGCTAACATAAGGTGAATGCACCAATTTGTAAGTCGCTCTGGATAAGAGCATCTGCTAAATGACGAAAATGTAAATGTAAATTAAACAGGGAAGGGACTCAGGGGGTATGCTAATTCAGTATAGAGCAGACCTAACTCACTCTATTAAATTAATCAAAACAGGAACATTTTACGATTGGCTAGAAAAAAATCAAAAGGAAATTATCTCAACAGAGAGATAATGTGTGTTGCCTATATCCCCCCACTAGAATCCCCATACTTTAATGAAGACAGCTTCTCCATCCTGGAGGGGGAATCAATCATTTCCAGACCCAGGGACATGTAATAGTGTGGCGACTTAAATGCCAGAACAGGACAAGAACCTGACACCCTCAGCACACAGGGGGACCAACACCTACCTGGATGTGACAGCATTCCCTCCCCCATATGCCCTCCTAGGCACAAATATGACAACATAACCAACACAAAACGGGTCACAACTCCTGCAGCTCTGTCGCACGCTGGGTATGTACATAGTCAATGGTAGGCCTCGAGGGGACTCCTATGGTAGGTACACCTATAGCTCAATTCTTGGCAGTAGTACTGTAGACTACTTTATCACTGACCTCAACCCAGAGTCTCTCAGAGCGTTCACAGTCAGCCCACTGACACCCCTATCAGACCACAGCAAAATCACAGTCTACTTGAACAGAGCAATACTCAAACATGAGGCATCAAAGCCAAAGGAACTGAATAATATTAAGAAATGCTATAGATTGAAGGAAAGTAGTGTCGAAACCTACCAAAAAAACAATTAGGCAACAACAAATTCAATCCCTTTTAGACAACTTCCTGGACAAAACGTTCCACTGTAATAGTGAAGATGTAAACTTGGCAGTAGAAAACCTAAACAGTATATTTGACCTCTATGCTTCCTTATCAAATCTAAAAATCTCTAACAGAAAACCGAAGAAAAGTAACAACAATGACAAATGATTTGATGAAGAATGCAAAAACCTAAGAAAGAAATTGAGAAACCTATCCAACCAAAACCATAGAGACCCAGAAAACCTGAGCCTACGCCTTCACTATGGTGAATCACTAAAACAATACAGAAATACACTACGGAAAAAGAATGAACAACAAGTCAGAAATCAGCTCAATATAATTGAAGAATCCATAGACTCTAACCACTTCTGGGAAAATTGGAAAACACCACAAATACAAATACAAATTCCATCTAGACACCGTTGCCCTAGAGCACACAAAAAACTATACACACCTCGGCCTAAACATCAGCGCCACAGGTAACTTCCACAAAGCTGTGAACGATCTGAGAGACAAGGCAAGAAGGGCCTTCTACACCATCAAAATAAAATTTTGACATATCAATTAGGATCTGGCTAAAAATACTTGAATCCACATATATTCATAAATTCAGAGCGTTTCGCTCTCGGAGCGCGTCACCGGACGCTCTGGCTGAGGAGTAGGGTTGATCCGAGCGTTCTGACCTCACAACGGCAGTCAAGCACCCAAGCTAACTGGCTAACGTTGGCTAGCTTGCTAGCTATTTCCAGACACAAATGAGAGAACACCTCACTCTGACCATTTTACTCGCCATAGAAGAGCTGGTTAGGCTGTTTTCATGTTATCCAGAGCGTTGGTGACTGTAACTGTGCTGCTGGCAACAATTTAATAATAATTTTTTTTTGCCGACGTTTACTGACACCGGCCATATATTCAACGGGTGTTGAGCGTTCGTAAATTCATCAGTTATTCTGCACTCTGGCACACTCAGACAAGAGTGCTCTGAAATCGGAGTAGATAGCCAGAATTAACAATGTCCATTGAGAACGCACAACGACTACACCACTTAGCTAAGAATGACGTGAATAATCAAGTCAATAAACGTTGGGTAGTTAGTTAGATTACAGTTAAAATATTGCCTGGCAAGTTCGATGTATTAGTAGCCAACTAACGTTAGGTAACTAGCTAACATACCGGTACATACTGCTGTAATGCTATGCGGTTCGTAAGGATAGCGTAGCTAACAAATTGTCAGCCAACATAACGTGTAACGTAACTTATTTGAAAAGTAATTGCTTTATTACATTGCTCAACATTTTCTTAACATTTGTCATAATTAGTTAAAGCAATGAATTTGTATCCGTGCTCGTCGGACTTCGGCTGCATATTTTCCGCCATTTTCTTCAAATCTGAAAACGTTGTGAAGCCACGCCCATTTCCTTAAGAATTGCATTATGTGCTCTAAAAGCACGGAAATAGTGTCCACTGCTTGTATACTTCGTATTTTGGCGAATTTAGTACGACATCAGGGAACTTTTGGCATACTAACTATATCCATACTATGACCAATAAGCATATTACATACTCAATTTACATCACAAATAGTAAGGTTAATGCTGTTAGTATGAGTATTTGAACACAGCTCTAGTTTCCTGAAACAAGTCACATATTTAGTATTTTTATATATTATTTAGTGATCATTTGTAGAGTGGCTCTCTATTTGCCCGCAGCAATAATTTTTTTTACCATTCTGAATGGCTAAAGAATCCATATGTTCTTCTGAAATATTAAAGACGTGCTCCGGTACTTTGGCGACTAGTAAGTATTTTTTAAACCTCCTGTTTTGGGCTAGATGTGTAGTTCATACATGTATAATCTATGAGCAGAATTACTGTCTTACCTCAATTAGCTACGAAATCCCTAGTTTGAAAGCGACTGTTTTCTGGAAGCTGTGCGGCGCCATTTTCCCTACATTTACCCCCATGTGGGCCAGCCCAGAGTACCGGAGAATATCTTTAACACGGAAACACGGAACATGTTAAGCTCTTATTATGGTGACGATCTGACAATTACAATTGTGATCTTGAATTGGACTCGCGTTGTTCTGGTCTCTGTCTTGACTCAGACTTTTCCCCTTTCGCCCCTGTCTTGGGCCAGCTCCAGCCGTCCAGCCAATTAGCTAATCAGTAATAAAAGTGTTGAAGGTCCAGCCGTCCAGCCAATTAGCTAATCAGTAACCAACATGTTTAAGGTCCAGCCGTCCAGCCAATTAGCTAATAGTAATCAACATGTTTAAGGTCCAGCCGTCCAGCCAATTAGCTAATCAGTAATAAAGTGTTGCGTTGGGCAGCAGGTGACGCCTAGCCCAGCTTGACCCTCTGGCTCCCTGCTATATGATGAACCAACCGCTGGGCTGGGCTGGGCTGGGCTGGGCTGGGCTGGGCTGGGCTGAGCTGGGCTGGGCTGAGCTGGGCCCCCTACACTCCCAAAGCCTGTTCCGTGTTCCGTCCTCCAGTGTTGGAATGTGGAGTCAGCATTAATTCTGTTCTACGCCTCTACCCCCACTTTTCATTTTACAACCCCCATATTACACACGCATGAATGGAATCGTATGGACACACACACACACACACACACACACACACATTTGCAGACACCCTGGGGCTGATTTAAGGTTAACCCGTAACTTTCTTTATTCTCTGTGGTGGTGCGTCGGTGTGACTGGGGTTGGCTGGTGATTTGTCTTGTCAGACCGACAGGGTAATGTGTGTGGTAATGTATGCAAAGCAGAGTGGAGAGGAGTGGATAAGGAGGAGAGGGGAGAGGAGGAGAGGAGAGGAGGAGAGCCTGATGAGATCCAGCTGCCCACCGTCATTCTGACAGACCAGGCAGATGATGGATGGCGCTCGGTGTGTGTCTGTGTGTGTGTGTGTGTGTGTGTGTGTGTTTGTGTGTGTGTGTGTGTATTTAAGTCTGCTGGATTCTCCCTCAGGTAGACCCTAAGCAAACACACAAACACACACTCAGACACACACACACAGATTATTTTCCTTTGTTCAACACTGCAATCTCTCCCGCTCTGTAACACAGCTATTGAGCCATAATAACCAGAAATGACTGTTCTGTTGTCTGGAATAATTTGACTTTGCATCGCCCGTGGCCTTAGAAGCTTTTGATTTACACTGAGAAAATGTAATTGACCTTGTCATTCACTAGTGTGACGCTCACAAGGGGCCATTCTCTTAGATAAACTGATATTCAGTATGTCAACAGTGGAGTTGTCTGTCACCAAAGGGAAAGAGCTTGATTATGTTTTAGATGTGTGTGTGCGTGTGTGTGTGTGTGTGTGTGCGTGCGTGCGTGCACGTGCGTGTGATAGCCTGTGTGTACGGGTGTACGTGTGTGTGTACCACAGGAGGTTGATGGCACCTTAATTGGGGAGGACGGGCTCGTGGTAATGACTGGAGCGCTATAAGTGGAATGGTATCAAATACATCAAACACATGGTTTCCAGCAGTTTGATTCCATTCCATTTTCTCCGTTCCGGTCATTATTATGAGCCGTCCTCCCCTCAGCAGCCTCCTGTCATGTGTACAGTGTGTGTGCATTTGTGTGTGTGTTTGTGTATCCATGTGAAACCAAACCACACACATTCTCTGGCTGACTAACGCTTTGGAATGTTAGACTTCGGTCCTCCATCATCAGTCTGCCGTAGTAGAGGTCCTGTCTGTCAGTCCATACCCCCTAACTACCTTGATACATTCTCATCAATAGTGACCTGACAAAGAACAACTCTGGGCTCTAGTTTTCAGCTATAATATGGTCAGTAAAAATGACTTGACTGCCATATCTAGGAACCAGTCTTCTCCTGGTCAAGTGGTGTAGTCAGGAACAACTCCTGGTTGTAGTCAGGAACAACTCCTGGTTGTAGTCAGGAACAACTCCTGGTAGTAGTCAGGAACAACTCCTGGTTGTAGTCATGAAACCACTTACTTAACTGGACTGGCACTTTAATTTGTAAAGCCACGCGGACAAAGACTTTATGGACACTAAATTAGAACAAACTAACACTATGAGAGACACAAGGAGGCTGGTTGATGATGGGGGCTTGAGCTTGTCTTCATGATTCCACGCCGCTGCACTCCAAGGCAATCAAATGAAATGTTTCGCTAATGAAGCCAAAATAAAAGCAAATCTGCTGAGTTTTGAGAACGTGTGTCCATAAAGTAATCATATCGATTAGAGATAGAAACTAAGTTGGTTTGTCCAACACAAGATTTACATCTTATATGTCCTTATACAGTATGTCCTTGACCAAGTGAAAGATGGACTTTAAAAGAGGCTCCATCCTCACAGTACATCCAAGCTATATGAGACGTGATGTAGCAGCCAGCCAGTCACCATCTCTGATATTAACGTTCTCTTTAGAGAGGTGTTCTTTATGTCTGTCAGCTAGCTATGTGTTGTTGATTAATGACTCTCTCCATCGGTCATAAGGGTCAGTATATAGCAGCTATACACAATAACACTGCTAAATTATTGACTAAATAATATACACCTGCTCAACTCAATGTGATAAAGACAGTATGGACAACCACAACACAGCACATTGTTTTTATGTTGAGTGTAATGCCTGAACTGTAAAGTCTGAATGTTCGTTTTTGTTTTCTTCTCTTTACAGTTAGACTTTCCACTGTCTACCTCACCGGGGCTAGACAACCATGTGCTGTCAGGGATCGAGGTAAGGTGGTGACTCTCCGCTGAACTCCCTGTGCTCTTCTCATTCCCCTATTGTCCTGACGCTTATCAAGTAAACAGAGATGTCAGTCTCACTGTGATCTCACCTGGTTGTTAGAGATGTCAGTCTCACTGTGACCTCACCTGGTTATTAGAGATGTCAGTCTCACTGTGACCTCACCTGGTTGTTAGAGATGTCAGGCTCACTGTGACCTCACCTGGTTATTAGAGGTGTCAGTCTCACTGTGACCTCACCTGGTTATTAGAGATGTCAGTCTCACTGTGACCTCACCTGGTTATTAGAGATGTCAGTCTCACTGTGACCTCACCTGGTTATTAGAGATGTCAGTCTCACTGTGACCTCACCTGGTTATTAGAGATGTCAGTCTCACTGTGACCTCACCTGGTTATTAGAGATGTCAGTCTCACTGTGACCTCACCTAAATAAAGCATACATAAATAAAATAGTCATTTGATGCTCACACTGACTGCATCCTCTCCTCTCTCTCCTCTCTCTCTCCTCTCCTCCCCCCTCTCTCTCCCTCTCTCTCCCCTCTCTCTTTCTCTCTCTCTTTCTCTCTCTCTCTCTCTCTCCCCTCTCTCTCGCTCTCTCTCTCTCTCTCTCTCTCTCTCTCCAGCTGTCAGACCTGTACTCCACGGTGGGGAAGCCAGGTCTAGATGTGGAGGAGAAGGAGAGTGACTACAGCAGCATTGCTGATATCAAGGGACTGGTCCCCGAGTCTTCCTCCAGCGATCTTGACCCTGGCTACGAAACCATCCACATCCCTAAGACTGGTAGTGGAGAGGACTTGGGGCTGGGGAACCAGGTTCAAGAGCCAGACTATGAGAGTGTAGGTGAGCTGGCCCTGGGGTTGAACAGGGAGAGCTCCCGTCTCTGACTGCCTATGGGCCCTAAAGCCTGAGTCTCTGGGGCCTCACCCTCAACCCCAGCCATTAACCTAACTCCTAGCCTCACCCTCAACCCCAGCCATTAACCTAACTCCTAGCCTCACCCTCAACCCCAGCCATTAGCCTAACTCCTAGCCTCACCCTCAACCCCAGCCATTAACCTAACTCCTAGCCTCACCCTCAACCCCAGCCATTAACCTAACTCCTAGCCTCACCCTCAACCCCAGCCATTAGCCTAACTCCTAGCCTCACCCTCAACCCCAGCCATTAACCTAACTCCTAGCCTCACCCTCAACCCCAGCCATTAGCCTAACTCCTAGCCTCACCCTCAACCCCAGCCATTAACCTAACTCCTAGCCTCACCCTCAACCCCAGCCATTAACCTAACTCCTAGCCTCACCCTCAACCCCAGCCATTAGCCTAACTCCTAGCCTCACCCTCAACCCCAGCCATTAACCTAACTCCTAGCCTCACCCTCAACCCCAGCCATTAGCCTAACTCCTAGCCTCACCCTCAACCCCAGCCATTAGCCTAACTCCTAGCCTCACCCTCAACCCCAGCCATTAGCCTAACTCCTAGCCTCACCCTCAACCCCAGCCATTAACCTAACTCCTAGCCTCACCCTCAACCCCAGCCATTAGCCTAACTCCTAGCCTAACCCTCAACCCCAGCCATTAGCCTAACTCCTAGCCTCACCCTCAACCAGCAGCCCTGATGTGAGGGAGACCACCACATGGCTCTGAACGACAACTTTCAACCCTACCATCCATCACCAGTTCAGGGTTTCCGCTCACTGCAACCTCAGTGCAGTTTGGGTGCGCCCACCGCCCAAGGTTATCTGATTGAACTATAATCTTAACTCTCCATTCATGGTGCCCTTAAATTACAATGTACGCAGGGTGCTGTCATGTCATTGATATCTGAACTATGAAATCACCGTCCATTGTCAAGTTATTGGCCTCCGTCCTCTTTGTTGTCATCGACTGTTATCAATGTGGGAAGGGAAGGGACATTATTAAATGCACTACATTATCCATTACCATCATAATCACTTCATCAGACCACAGAATGATCCATTCCTAGGCATTTATAACCAGTCATTACAAACTGAGTTAATGTTATAAGGCTGGTGACAAGCTGACTGGCCAGTGACGTTTGTCAGTGCCTTGTGATTGAAAACCAACCGAGTCTTTGTGCCATAATGTCGTTCTATAAAGGTTTGAGTAGAAGGTTTCCCCACAATGTAGTGCCACTTTTTATGTAGTCCGTTCTTCCTTTGTAGTGCCCCATTTCATTCAGAACTTCATGAGAGGTATGACAGATATGAGAGATATGACAGATATGCGAGATATGAGAGACATTAAAATATGATAGACATGACAGATATGACAGATATGACAGAGATGACAGATATGACAGATATGACAGATATGAGAGACATGAGAGATATGCGAGATATGACAGATATGACAGATATGACAGATATGGTAGATATGAGAGATATGAGAGACATGAGAGATATGATAGATATGGTAGATATGAGAGATATGAGCGATATGAGAGACATGAGAGATATGATAGATATGCGAGAGATATGATAGATATGTGTACTTACATACTATTGTGAAATAAGTAGCAGCAAATCAGGCAGTTTAGACATCTAAACTAAAAAAAGAACGGCTTGTTTTAGTTTCTAAAGCATTTTTAAAACATTTCACATGTCAACCGTTTGATCAAATTCATATTTATTTCAAGATGATGGATCATTGTGTGATTTAAAGGGATATCAGGAAGGGCGTTTGTTTATGAGGGAAACTTTAAGAGGTTTTGTTCTGTACACGGGATAAAGAGAAGAAGAAGTGGGTTGCCGTGGTAATAAAGTAGTAGTCAAGGTACTCATAAATGATCCTGACTTTTTAGAAAAGGACTTTCAAAAGACAAACAATGGTGAGACCATATCTATCAATGTTGTGATTTCTTCTTAAATCCCGTGAGAATTGTTCAACTCAGTTGTTTTTCTTTTTTATATTTCTTCACAGGATTCAAAATGTATTTAATATACTTGTATTCTCTCAATGTGACAATATGCAACAGCAAAACTGTGTGTGTTAATTGATCAAGGTGTATAATATGTGTTTGTACGGCGTGTTTATGTTTCTGCTTACCCTGATGTAGGTACGCATACGGTCCGTATTAATATGGTAGAAAATTTTTCTAAAGCACAGTGTCAAAAACGTTATGGTACAGCTTGTGTACAGAGCATAGAGCATCATCATCATCAACTGAGTGTACAAAACATTAGGAACACCTTCCTAATATTGAGTTGGCGTGGACACTACAAGGTGTTGAACGCGTTCCACGGGGATGCTGGCCCATGTTGACTCCAAATGCTTCCCACAGTTGTGTCAAGTTGGCTGGATGTCCTTTTTGTGGTGGACCATTCTTGATACACACAGGTATCAAAAGTATGGAAAATGTATGCACTCACTAAATGACTAAAATTTTTAATTTTTAAATGAAACTGTTGAGCGTGAAAAACCCAGCAGCGTTGCAGTTTTTGACAGATTTAAACCGGTGCGCCTGGCACCTACTACCATACCCCATTCAAAGGCACTGACATTTTTTTGTCTTGCACATTCACCCTCTGAATGGCACACATACACAATCCATGTCTCAATTGTCGCCTCCCCTTCATCTACACTGATTTAAGTAGATTTAACAAGTGACATCAATAAGGGATCATAGCTTTCACCTGGTCAGTCTATGTCGTGGAAAGAGCAGGTGTTCCTAATGTTTTGTACACTCAGTGTCTATACCCCTTCATGGGCACAATTTGAATATCAAATGCTTCTAACTCACCTATTTTAACTAGCATTATTACAACAGCATGTGCTGTTGACATGCCAACCGAGGCCTGTATGTAGTTAGAGTGGTATTTTAACCATTTATTACGCAGTTATTGTATGAATTTGCAAATGGTAAAGTATATTTTGTAGTATGTATGCGGACTGGTTTATAGTGGCTATGAAATCAGCTACAGTACAGTAAGCCCATGGTGTCATTTTAAGGGAAATTCAATAGGAAAAGTGTTGTTATCACAAATACAGACGATAGCTGCAAGATGCTCCTCACTCGGACTGTGACCCAACTATTGTTGATAAGATACCGTTTGCGATTGAATGGTGGCTCACAACTGTTTTGGGTTCTGTAATCTGTTTAATTAACAGGACACCATCCCATTGGTTATTTTGTTCTGTCATTTTATTCATATGGTACATTTGTGTTGGTACAAGCTTTTTAAAACATGAAGGTCATGCTACTTTCATTTTAAAAAAGAAAAGAAAAAGAATTAATGTCTGAATGAATATTGTTTTGTGGTGTTTATTTTAAAATTAACCATGTAAATTCTGACTGTGAATAACTAGCTATTGCAATGATGATATCTGCATTTGACAGAAAAACACTGATATTAGCTTCTTTTCCATCCCATTTCTGTTATCTCAATATTGCACATTATTGTTGTACGCAGAGTGAGTGAGTGCATATTGCATTACACATGTGTGAGCTTGTATGAGCTTGTTGACGACAAATCCAGCGCCCAGGTTGACTGATATCCAGGTTGACTGATATTAGATTCAGAAATGATATCCAATAAGGAGAGAAAGGACTGATCCCATTAAATTAGCCACAATTGATAAATGTGCATTAAAGAGGATATACAGTGCATTTGGAAAATATTCAGACCCCTTGACTTTTTCCACATTTTGTAACGTTACAGCCGTATTCTAAAATGGATTAAATTGTTTTTTTTTCCTCATCAATCTACACACAATACCCCATAAAAACAGGTTTTTGCAAATGTATTAAAAAAAAAAAAAATCTGAAATAACACATTTACATCAGTATTCAGACCCTTAACTCAATACTTTGTTGAAGCACCTTTGGCAGCGATTACAGCATCGAGTCTTAGGTATGACGCTACAAGCTTGGCACACCTGTATTTGGGGAGTTTCTCCCATTCTTCTCTGCAGATCCTCTCAAACTCTGTCAGGTAGGATGGGGAGCGTCGCTATTTTCAGGTCTCTCCAGAGATGTTCAATTGGGTTCAAGTCCGGGCTCTGGCTGGGCCACTCAAGGACATTCAGAGACTTGTCCCGAAGCCACTCCTGCATTGTCTTGGCTGTGTGCTTAGGGTCATTGTCCTGTTGGTAGGTGAACCTTCGCCCAGTCTGAGGTCCTGAGTGCTCTGGAGCAGGTTTTCATCAAGGATCTCTCTGTACTTTGCGCTGTTCATCTTTCACTCGATCCTGACTAGTCTCCCAGTTCCTGCCGCTGAAAAACATCCCAACAGCATGATGCTGCCACCACCATGCTTCAACGTAGGGATGGTGCCATGTTTCCTCCAGATGTGACGCTTGGCATTCAGGCCAAAGAGTTCAATCTTGGTTTCATCAGACCAGAGAATGTTGTTTTCATGGTCTGAGAGTCATTTAGGTGCCTTTTGGCAAACTCCAAGCGGGTTGTCATGTGCCTTTTACTGAGGAGTGGCTTCCGTCTGGCCACTCTACCATAAAGGCCTGATTGGGGGAGTGCTGCAGAGTTGGTTGTCCTTCTGGAAGGTTCTCCCATCTCCACAGAGGAACTCTGGAGCTCTGTCAGAGTGACCATCGGGTTCTTGGTCACCTCTCTGACCAAGGCCCTTCTCCCCCGATTGCTCAGTTTGGCAGGGCGGCTAGCTCTAGGAATAGTCTTGGTGGTTCCAAACTTCTTCCATTTAAGAATGATGGAGGCCACTGTGTTCTTGGGGACCTTCAATGATGCAGACATTTGATGGTACCCTTCCCAAGATCTGTGCCTCGACACAATCCTGTCTCGGAGCTCTATGGACAATTCCTTCGACCTCATGGCTTGGTTTTTGCTCTGACATGCAATGTCAACTGTGGGACCTTATATAGACAGGTGTGTGCCTTTCCAAATCAGGTCCAATCAA